CAGGGCATTTAATTTTTGGCTTCTTTGCATTTGGCATTCATGCACATGCTCAATTGTCACTTCTCTCGTTCTTCAATACAGAGGTTTCGGAAGCTGTTAATTCTGGGAAAGGTGATTAAAGCCCTTGAGAGTAAATTGGATAAAGGACCATATTTTTTTTTCCCTCTTGACTGCAAGAAACCAAGTTGCTGAATTCAGTGCTTTATTGTGTAGCATTCCTTGTCCTTGGTTGCACATATGAAAAATGAGCCTGTGCAGAAATGTGTTGTGCATCACACCAAGCAGGTGATCAGACAGCACCTCTGTGGCTGGGCTCAGAATAAGGCATTCCCGCACACCCCAGCACAGGGGGGTTGTGCCCCACGCCACAAAATGCACCTCTGTGTGCTGAACACCACGGGTGGACCAAACCCATGGGACCGGCGCGCTCCCAAGTCCCTAGTATGTGCTGGCTAAACGATGATGCAGAAGCAGACCCTGAGGTCTGTGGGGCCGCATCGCAGGGAAGCAGAGGCAGGATGCACAGGGGCTGGCAGGTCGGCGGTCACAGCAGCTGAGGGAGCGACCTCTTTGATGTTTGCCTGTACCTTCTATATGTATACCTGAGGCGTGTGTTGTAAAGTTTAGGCAGCAGTTACCCAGGGATTTGTCTGTGATCTCAGATTTAGCTCCTTTATTTGCTGTCTCCATTTAACGTGTCCCCCTCTGAGCCGTTGCTCTAAGTGCTGTGGGAGCTGCCGGTGCGGGCACTTGAAGGCAGAGCGTTTGGAAAAGCTGCAAGCCGACTGCTTTTGACAACAGACTGGTTAGGCTGAGGATGGTGCTGCATGTTCAAACTCCCTGCCCTGAAGTGACGTGAAGTCGTCTGCAGCTTTTTGTGTTTGTTGTGTTTTTCTGCTTATTGTTGTTGAAATATGGAAATAATTGACAGTAGAAATTACCAAGGGTAGTCTGTGAAGGGATATAAAAGGCAAAACTTGGAATCAGAAAAAACATTCATGTTTAAGAGCTGGAATATGGGCCAGTTACTCTGGAACATTTGCTACCATTTGTAAAATTGCTGTTATTAAAAGAGCTTTTTTTCTTTTTTTTTTTCTTTCTCCCTACTCTAATGAGCTCATTGCTTAAAAAGGGGGCGAAACATTTGATAACGGGGGTGTGCAATAATAAAAATAGAAGCAGCTTGCTGGGGGAAGATTGCCTGAGAGGAGATCACAAAAGTATTTATCAGAAACACAAGGGAAGTATTTGCTAGCAGTGACTGCAGATTGTGCTTTGGCTGCTGTGCCGAAGGGACGAGCTGAGAGCTGCCACAGCAGCAAGGGACGGCCGCAGCTCGCGGCTTCCAGCTGGCTCTCTGGGCCTGGGCAGCAGTGGTCTCACTGTCCCAGCTGGGTCTGGGTTGCAGAAGCTTTTATTGCAGGTTCACTTCCATCATTGTCCTTTGTGACAGGCACAGATTCAGCACATGCCTGTGTCTGGTGCAGCACACCTCCTTAAGGAGGCAATTCGGCTTTGAGTATGTCTCTGATGTCAATATGTGGATTGCTCTCCTCTAAAATTTAGTGCAACACAGTTAGCATCTTTCTAGCTGTTGCCAGAAACTGGAGTCCGCCCCATCAAATTGATTTTCATTAAGCTGTTACAGTCACTGAAACTGCTGAGAAGAATCGTCACCATATGGCACAAGGTATTCAAAATGAAGTCTCTTATGACAGTTTGCCACTTCTGGAGGCGCTGAGCTGACATGTGCAGAGGTTACTGATCAGCAGTGGGGAGGAGGGACTCCAAATCTCAAGCACCGATGCGAGAGGAAATAATAAATCATAAACCCACTGCAAGAAGAGGAGGCAAGGTGGGTGAGGTGAGCAGTGTTTGTGGTGGGGGCACCACAGCTCCTGTCTCTACCAGGGGAAGGTGCGAAGAGTTTTGGGTACTTAGACCTTGGTGTGCAGTCCAAGTGCTTCCACTTGGCTGAGTTGTTGAGTCCGGCTGGTGAGGGTGCGAATCACACATTAATTCCTCAGCTCTCAGCAAGAAAAGCCTTTGAGAGTGAGCAGGGAACACATCCCTCCTTGCTCAGCGTCAGCTTCTCCTCAAGCATCTTGGAGGCGTGCGGAGCTTTGCAGCCCCAGACGGGCTGGAGGCTGCTGGTGCAGAAAAGCCTTGTTTCCACTCTGCCTCCTGACAGACAGGTTATGTCGTGAAGATCAGCCAGACTAGTCAGTTCTGGGAACTGTTAGGCACTTGTCGGCAGCAAGAGTTAAAATGGAATTAAGCGATTAGGAATACTTAAATATTAATTGCTTATGAACTCCCTTTATGACACTTGCAGGTGGAAGAAGTTAATAAATCACTGCTGGCATTGACCCACAAAACAATAAAGTAGAGTGTATCTGAAACAAGGCAAGAGGAGGGGAAGGAAAGGAGCTTTTCTCAAGCTTGAGAAAGCACTGTTTTTAGGTCAGGTAGTGACACAACAAAGCTGTTTTTTTTTTTGTTTGTTTTGTTTTTTTTTTCCCAAGGCTTCATGTCTGGAATCTGCCTTTTGCTGCAGACGGGAGCCCTTGCAGTTATGCACAGATGCCATCAGCAGGCCACCTGTGGTTACCTTGCTGCCATTATGGAATCTCTGTAGGAATCCCTCTGTAGGAAGCAGACAGGCCCCTCTTGGCTCTTGCATTGTTGCAGGCTCTGCACGGGCTCCCAGGGAACACCAGCCCTGGGCCCCACAGCGGGGCGATGACCCTGGTTTACTTGGCATGGAGAGGTGTGTCTTCATCCATCTGCTTCACTGCGTATTACCTTGATTCCCTTTTGATGTCCTGCTACAGCATGTTATCCTTGAAGGGAAAATATAATGGTACAGAAAAAAATATTAAAAAAAAAAAAGGCAAAGGACCCAGCTAGCAGCCACCAAACATAAAAGCTTTATTCAGAGCTAGCAGCTTGCACCAGCCAAATTTAATGTCAGTCCTCAGAAAAGCATTCTGGGCAGTAAAGCTGTGTGAGAGCTCTCTAGCAGCAGAGAGGCAATTAAGTGGCATAGTGAGAAAGGAAGGGGATTTTTGCATTTCGATTATAGTTATTTGGGACAGGTCAAAGTCTGTTTGGTACTTGAGTTTAAACTTTTTCTCAGGCTGTCTGCGTTTTCGTGATGGCTTTGCTAGGGTGATTTGTACACATGGGTGCTGGCAGTGCAATGCTTGCGTGAATGCTTGGGTGTAGACCTGGGATCTGTTATCAGATCGTGCAGGGCTAAGGTAATACTGAGCAGCTTTTGATTTAATCTGATTTTTTGCAATGAGAGTTTATACTGTGAGCATTGCAAACTGCATGCAGATGAAAATGATATTACATGCCTCTATCTTGGATGCTGGATTAAGATTTAATGAGATTCTTTGGTTTGTTTTGTGTCAATCTGTTGTATTTTTGAGTGTGTGTTTTTTTTTTTTTTTTTTTTTTCCATTTTATTTTGCCTTTGATGCAATTTTGCAACACTTCTTGTACTCCTAAAAGGATCTTTTGGTGTCTTTGAAAGTTTCGCAGTACAGCAGTTCTCTAGACAGAGTAAATGAAGATTAAACCCAGGCAGAGAACAAGGGAAAACAAGCAAGTGATTTGCAGAATCAGAGCGGGAGGGCACCAGCAGAAGAGCTCTGTGGTTTGTATCTTTTGTCTGGTAAATCACAAACATCAAAGTGAACCTTTTTCATGGGGCTGGGGGTGAGAGCCAGGCTGAGACCCTCAGGTGTCTGCTCAGCTGCTTGTTTTTATGTGTTTTATGTGTTACCTGTAACACATACCTTAATGCTCCTGAGATTGCAGTGTGTGTGGGTCGTGGTGCAGCCACCTGCAGCGGGCTGGCAGCAGCCAAGCCCACGGAGCTTCCTTGTCCCATCCTGACCCCGCACAGCTGGACCCAGCAGCCCCAGAGCTCTGGTGTGTCCCCAAACCCTGCAGCTCTTCTGCTGGTGAGGTATCATAACCTGATTATTTCCATGATACTTTTCTTCCCAGTCAGTGGAATAAACACTATAAAAACTGAATTATCAGTCTTCATTGTGCCTGGGTTTGTGATGATTGTGAATTAACAGAGATTTTACCTTGGCATTAGTTAGAAAGCACTGCCCTCTGTTTCACTCTTCAATTGCACAGTTTATGTATTTTGTTTTGTTTTAAATATCCTTTATGGGAAGCTACATCTGGTGGGTTTTGCTCTGCCTGGGTTCAGTTTTTCATAAGCCTCAAACTTCCTGATGCACACTGTGATTATCAGTTCAGAGGCTGATACCTTCAATTGCTTGCATGGTGAGGAAGCAGGTGTGAACAGAGAAGTGAAGTGTTCCTATGAATCAGATCACACACTGAGCTCTTTTTGGAAGTGCAAGTGTCCTCACTGGAAATTTTGGGGAATGCACAAATATTTAAACAGCTGCTTGGGAACAGCACAGCCCGCTAAATCACCTAAGCAATTTCCTTCTTCTAAATTGAGAAATATAGCAGAGTGTCTAAATCGAGAAATGCAGCAGAGCACCCTTCCAGCTCGAAAACATCTTCCTCCAGTTCGTAATATCCGCATATATTTATTTATTATTTTTAAGGCTGAGGAACTGCAGCACTTCTTGTTTCATTGATGACAACTGCTGCCTAATTACTTCTGACCTCGGTCTGTTTCTGCACCACCCTGCAGACAGGGCAGAGGACAGCACTGCTCCGATGTGCCTGAGTGGTTCAAAGCAGGAGCCCGCGGGCGTGCAGGGTGCTGGAAGGAGCAGGTAGTGGTGCTGGCAGGGCTAGGACCGTGTGTTCGGTGTAGACTGCCTGTGTGAAAATCTTGGGAACTCCGAACTTGTGGTTCTTGTGAGAAGAACCCCGCAACTCAGGTGTTGCTTGGCCCGTGTCTCCTTAGGGGTCTTCATCAAATACAACTGCCCTGCTCTACCTGTGTCTTGGAACTAAATCTGTTTGTTGTCTCTTCTCTTTGTTGCTGTGAACAGATGAAATCATCTGACATTGACCAGGAATTATTCACTGAAAGTTACTGCAAAGTGTGCAGCGCACAGCTAATATCCGAGTCCCAGCGCGTGGCCCATTACGAGGTAGGATGCTTTTTGTTAATCAGTCTTTTGGGTTGTAACTCCTCCATCGATGCCTCTTTCAGTTACGTGTTTTGCAGGGTGGCTTTGGCTACTGTATTCCCAGTAAGCAAGTTACATGAGCATTTAAAATTCCTCTTTGAAAACTCAAAATTCAAAAGATCACTTTTGTTGGTGGCACATTATTCCGTGAACGATGTTACTGCAACGTTGTCTGCTGCATGTATTTTTTTGTCCTGCCTAAATCCGCAGTCAGGCTACAATTTGACCTCTAATAAAATATAGTTTTCAAATAAATGTAGCTAGCAAGGAATCACTTAAGAGTTCAGCAAAACAAACTCAAGTTTTTATATTAAATGTGCTGCACTATGCTTGGCTGAATAGGAATCACTGATTGTGCAGAGAATAGATTAGTATTTCTGAATGTATTCAAGCACTTAAGAGGTAGGCAAGCAATAAACAATTAGAAGGGTATATCATTAGAGACATGTTAGAACAGCAATTAACAGCACTGCATATCTTCAAAACAAAATTAAATAAATTCATATTAAACAAGGGAGGAAACTCCTGAAGGATATGCTGCTGTGAAATCCTTCAGGAAAGGAGAGCTGCTGCCACCCATGCCTCAATGCTGGAGGCTGGGGAGGTCGGCGGCAGCATGGGCCGAGTCCCCAGGTTGGGTGCTGGCCAGTGAAGACATGCAGGAAGCTTAATCAATGTACAGTATCCAAGGATGCTGTGCTGCATTAATAAATAACAACAACAATAATGCACATTTATTTATAAGGCACTGTACATGTCTGTTTTGGCAAATTCCTTGAGACATTTCCTGTAAATACTCCCTTGGCTGCCCTCTGTGCAGCACAGACCACAGCAGCCACTGCGAAGTCAAAGGCTGCAGTTGTAGGGACACCTTCCAGATCCTGGTAAATGGGTGGTGAGGCTGCCAAATTTTGGTCTACAGGAGGCAGAAGCATTGCTGCAAAATAGTAGTAGCGACGCGAGAGCAGTGGGGTGCTCAGCCAATCTCTTTTCTTCTGTGTCTGTAATTGTAGGTATGAGCTGAATCATTAATTTGTAGCAGATGTTTTCAAAATGTGGAAAACGGCATGTTTTTCTGTTGTATATTTCTAGCGTGAGGTGTTGTGCTCATTTGTCATCCCCAGTGAAATCCCAGCAGACGCCACAGACGCTCGGCACAACAATGCTGTTACCCAACTGGGCCGCGTGGCGCAGAGCAGTGCGTGGGCACTGGAGGGATGGGGGGAGCCGGCGGGGACGGGACTGGCCCCTGCCCGGCCTGGCCTGTCCCCCGTGGGAAGCTGGTTGTGCCTCTGCCCTGCAGCGGTGCTTCTGCGGCATCCTTTCGCTGTGGGACATGGCACTATTGAGCATTGGCTCCGGGTGCTGCCCCAGAGGGAACGCGTGTTCTGCTCGCATCCCAGTGCGAGGAAACCGCGGGCATGGCAGGAGGTCTGCAGACCTGCCCTGAGGTTTTGGGGAAGGCGATGCTGCATAAGGTGCATCTGCACAGGGGGATGTCACCGGGGCATGGGCAGAGCAGTGTTGTGGATGTTTCTCCCCGTGCTGTCAATGCGTGCAGCATTTGCCCTGCTGTGGCTTGGTGTGGCACCAAACATCATGGGCAGGCTCTGTGGGCAGCCCATGCTTTGGCTGCAAAACCAAACTGGAAATCTTTCTGCAGCTCCAGTCTCTTTCCCAATGCAAGCTGGATTTGGTTCTGAGAGACCTGAGCAAATAATACATAGTGAATCATTTATTAGGCGAACTTAGCTTTTTCCATTCAGACACTGGACAGGCTGTCTGTGATTTCCCCGTATACATTAATCATGGAAAATTATTGGAGAATAATTTCTGCAAATAATTCTTGCTCTGACACTGTTTCATGAGCGGTTCATTCCGAGGATCTGCTACATGAATGGAGAAGGCCATTCTTCCTGCTAGACACTTGAGTCATAAGGTGTTTCTTTTCCCTGGACAGACTGGACAAATTGAGTTTATGGTGAGAGTATTCACTTCTGTAATGTCTGGATTCACAACATGACCATTCTTTTACAAAACTCTGTTGGTGAAGGTACGAGAGCTCCGTGCTGCCCACAGCTGCGAGCCCTTGACACAGGGAAAAGTGCAGCGCTTCAGAAGGCAAAACCCTGCCGTCAGCACGTGCCCAGCTTCATCCCGGTGCCTCAGCACTGCCAGGGGGCTCCAGCCTTGCTCGGGGAGCTGCGTGGGGACCCTGGGCCAGCGGGTGCTCCCCTCTGATGCTGCCCGGTGCTGGCCCAGGCTGGGAGCGGGGGGGGGAGGCACTGGCTGGAGGCTGGACTGCAAAGCCGGAGTCTGAGGCTCAGGGTCTGTGTGGGGAACGCATCTCCCTCTGTGCCGTGGTTTGTGTGGGTCCACAGCACCGTGACTGAGCCGGAGCTGGGAGAGCTGGGGAATTCATCCCCTGGCTCCTTGTCACAGCCAAGGGAGGCCTGCAGCCTTTGTGCCAGGCGGTGAAATCTTGGCTCCTTTGCGCATGCAAAATAAGACGTTTCTCTGTAAGAAAAGGAGGGAAATAGTGTATGAAAGGGGGATGTTTTTATCTTGCCAAACAGGAGTAGTCAGTTCCAATCGCTGTCTCGTCTCCTTCCCCAAATCATCAACCAATAACTCTTCTTTTCTGCTGCAGGACTTTGCCAGGAATAAGAAATAATTTGATGTCAGTCGTGCAGTATTAAGCAGTATTATTTCCAAGGGCAAGTGTAGTGGAAAAATGACAAAAGAATCAGAGTATTTGCAGCATATTTTTGCTACCAACGTGACATACAGCAAAATACTGCCCTTATTTTACATGCTTTGTGCAACTCTGTCTGGAGGCTGAGGAGAGTCAGGGGAGAGGGGCAAGGTCCTGGGCATTGCTGTAGGGTTCCCGTGGGGCTGGGCAGCACACCAAGAAGGCACCTTCCTGCTCTCTTTGCACAGTGTGTGTCTTCCGACACAACTTTGAAATGAGAGGGCTGATTTTTGTTTTTAAGTAGGAAAAGAGTAGTGACCCAGAGTCCACACCTTAGTGCAGAGCCCTTTGCAAGGAGGTGGGAGCCGGTGGAAAGGCTGGGGTTCAGGCTTGTGTCACCGCAGTGTGGTCGTGAATCAGCTCCTGCAGCTTTTATCAGCAAAGCATTGCTATTCCAACACCTTTCACCCTTCAAAAGCATTGCAGAGGGATAACTGGGGCTGTTGCCCTGAGCAGAAGCCCCTGCAGATGTGCGACCACTTCAGCAGGGGATCAATACGCTCAGCGACCGCTGTTATCCCTCTGCAAGGGGAAGAGCATCAGAGAAATCAGAGAAGGTCAGCGGGCAGCAGTGGTTGTGGAAGTGGCCTGTGCCAAGCAGAGGAGGAGGGGGGAAATAAGATGTGGTTTACTTGCTGAAAGTGCATTGAAAACCTGTGTTCCAGAGAGGATTTAGGTATTTCTGCATCCTTCTGGAGTGGCAGGCCTCTTTCCTGAATAATGTCTTGATTACCCATAATTTAACACCCTCTACCAGCTCTGTCGTTGAGAGAGGGCTGTAGCAGTCACTCTGGTGTGCTGCTCTGTAAATTAGAATGATAAGGTTTCTTAGTTAGTTCTGAATCCTCATTGCTGTATAGAACTATTCACAGCCATTAGAAAGATGGTACAATTTATTTTCAAGTTTCTCCTTGAAAATCCTGCAGGAAAATTACCAAATATGCAAAGTTGCTTTCAGATTCCACCTTGAGCTGCATATTCATCACCACATTTGCTCCTTAAGCTGTTATAACGCTTTTCTTCATTGTAATCTTTATTGCTTCAGGTGTTCAGATGGTACTTTACTTTTTCATTTAAAATGAAGAAATACACCGGGTTTGAAGGAAGAGAAGCCCAGGAAAGTGTCATGTGGATGTGCTGTTATTGGCTCACCTTGCGAAATGAAGGAATGATGTTTAAATGCTCGCTGTGTAGCCTGAGAGGCAGGGGGAGGGCAGAGGAAAAGTGTATTAAAATTCAAATGCAGAGCAAACTCCAGAGAATAAATACAGTGCTGTGCCCTTTGGCTCATCTCCGGGAGCCGAGTGTTCTTTGGAATTTCTCACCCTGTCACAGTGGGCGAAGCAGGCGCACAGTATCGACAGCCCCATCAATACTCTGTCTGCACGGGCTGGAGTGGTGCTCAAGTTAATCTGCTTCCAGTTGGGCTGTCCTGCTCTGAGAAACTTTGCATAAAATGATGGCTTGTCAGTAGGAATAATAAACATTGTTTACCATTGGCACATCAGTGCTTTAAGGATCAAAATGTGTGTGCTCGGAGAGGCAATCTTGTATCTGAAATATTAATGCAGCGAAGGAGCATATATTCCAGTTAACAAAATAAATGCTGCACCAGAACACAAGGAGCTGGAATATTCTGTGTGTGATGTGAGCTCCCCACACGAGGTGCTGCGGGCATTTCCAGGATGGAGGAGCAGAGAGGACACATTTCAGCTGGAAGCGAAACTACACAGGGCTCTGGTCTGTCAAGGTGTCTGTTGGTGTTGGTTGGGTGCTGCTGAAGGAATGCTAGCATCGCTAGCTGGTCTGTTGTGCCATGTCTCCTACCTGCAAAGTTTTGGTTTGCTGTAGTGAGAAAAACCTGCAAATACTTCAGAGGATGAAGGAGGATGGGACATGTCCTACCTGTTGTTCCTATGTCCTTCCCACCAACTGCTGAGAATTTGCTTTGCTGCATTGTATGCACAGTGTATAGTTTCAAGTGGTTGCTCAAACTTCTGCAGGTTATTCTGCAGATTGTACTGGTGTTTGGTAGAACTTCAGCTTGGGAAACAAAATTCAGACTAAAGAAAGCTTCTAATGTGTGTGTGTGTGTTGTTTGGTTGCAAAGTGATGTAGGTGCCATTCTGTTTTTTGTATGTGCACCTACAGACCTTTGCAAATTGCCTTGGCATCCACTTTGCGTCGTGCCATTTACCAGCAGCAA